CCCCTCCTTCTCAGGCGACAAGTCTAGACGAGGAGCATCTAGGCTCAGGTGAAGTTTGCAGTTATCCTCCGTAACGCTATTACAGGCCGCTCGGTGGCCACGCTGCCGTGCGTACCTCAGTTGGGCCTTTTTACATGTTGCTTGCTTAGTAATGCACTAATTGGGTAGCATCGCCGCATTTGTTCGCATGAATAAATTCCCAACAGAGACCGAACTGAATATTCTCAACGGAGCCTCGATTTCGTTTTGGGTGATGAATCCGGAAATTGCAACGATGCAAAGGATGTTAAATGTTAATGCAAGATGCGACGTGTCAATAATGAGAGAGAGGAGCAATATTGGCAAATATTGTCGCGCAGTGTTGATGACCGTGCTGCAATTTAATTGCCTTATGTAGTGCTAGATGTCGTATCAAGCATTGCCGGGATGTAGTTATTGCCAGTGGCTATCCTGCGTACACCTTGCTTCCCCCTCCTTCTCTCCTCCCTCTCTTCACCTTCCCTCCTCTGTATAGTTCGTAAACCATGCATATTTTACTTCAGCGACCAGAGGGGTTCGTGAGTCTGATGTTGTGTTGAACACGAGATCCCTCTCTTCCTCTCTCCTTCCTTCCATCTTCCCCTCCCTCTCTCTCTGTGTGCTTACTGTTATCGTTTACAATCTCACAGAGGAATCTGGCGAGTCTGGTGTGCGTCGGCGTCGCAATGATCCCTCGCCAACGAGCAGAGATCGAGCTGACGGGCCTCTCGGCGTCGAGCAGTTCACGACGCAGCAGACAACTGGAGCCGCAATGATCCTCGCGTCAGCGACGGCCACGAAGTGCACGTCCAACCAGTATTTGAATCAAAGACCGCAGTCGGCCGCCAGAATAACAAGGGACTTCATACCAAAGCATCAGCGACGTGCACTGATGACTCTGCAGTGCATCGGCAAGCGAAGGTAGGGGTCGCTAGCGGGCGCGCCGGATGATGACAGGATGCGGAGGCAGGTGGCGGGGAGAGCGCGTATAGTCACGCGATGTGCAATGGTGCGGCGTCGTCGCAGTTTGTGTGCAAGTCGCAAATTACGTATTGCGATAAAACAAATGTGTCTTCGTCTGAAGTGACATTATAAGTTGAGGAAAATCACGAACGCTAAGATGTGTCAGCCTATTATCTAGCTAAGTATTCGAGTGACTCGTACCTAGAAGCTCTCTATATTACGCCTGCAAATGGTGATAGCCTGATAGGTGAATCTTGTGTTCATTCGTACATAACGTGTCTTTCCTCGCAGGGGACAATGTTATACTGCTGCAGTCTGACTGTGCTCGACTGCATTATAGTCTGTGAGCTGCAGTTGAAGGACACAGTTGCTAAAGTTTGCATGGGAGTGAGCATGTCGTCATGAAATTTGCGTGTTACTGCGTGGTTTTTGGCAGTTACGTGTTACGGCTCTTGTTAGACGTTACCTGTGACCACAATCTCGTTAATGAAAGTTTAACGCTGTGACGCACGTGTCGTTAGAATTATGCAATCTTGGAAGCTTTGAGCTGATCTTCGCTCCCCTATATTGACGGCATGGCATCGTTGGACAATTACGCTCGTGACGCACGTGTCACTAGAATTTACCTGTTGCATTCACGTGTCTTAAGAAGTTACGTATGATACGTGTCTTTAGAAAGTTACCTGTGATCACGTGTCGTTGGAAGTTACGTGTGCCACTGTCATTAGAAAGTTACCTGTGACACGTGTCATTGGAATTACCTCGTGACCACGTGTCGTTAGAAGTTATCTGTGACCAGCGTTCGTTAGAATTATGCTTTTTGAAGCTGAGCTGATGCTTCATGCCTATATTGCACCACGTGTCCTTGAAGTTACCTGTGACCACGTGTCGTTAGAGGATTACCCATGAAATCGTTAGTAAGTGTTCTGAGGGTAGCTGATCTTTGTCCAATATTGACCAACGTGTCATTGAATAGTTACCCATGAATGCGTTGGTAGTTCTGACGTAGCTGAAGTCTTCTTGCGCACTGTTTCGCCTTCGCAGTTGAGACGGCAGGCAAGGAGCATCAGCGTCTGTAATGCGTTCACGCATCGCCGAGGACAAGTACTTGTTTGTGCAGAGCGACGAGCAAGCTGTTCTCCAGCTCAGGTGAACGTCGAGCCAGAGTTCATTCATCTCTACTGCATCGATCCATCAGTGAGTAATCGAGGCGAGGCCCAGCTGTGGGCGACCACACTGTTCTAGCTGCTAACACGGCTAGTTATAGGGCTAGCGTGTAAACACCACTCGTTCTAGCTGCTAAAACTACTTAATAGGGCTAGCTGTGATGACACATCTCGTTCTAAGCTGGCTAACACACTAGCTTATAGGCTAGCTGTGCGACCACACTCGTTCTACGCTGGCTAACACCTAGCTTTAGGCCCAGCTGTGAGACACACTCATTCAAGCTGCTAACACACTAGTATTGATAGGGCTAGCTTGAGACACACTCGTTCTAGCTGCACACACTGCTTTATAGGGCCAGCTGTGGCGAACCCCCACGTCGTTCTAGCTGCTAACAC